AAAAAAAAAAAACCTGACAATCTTGGGAACTAATTGGCAATCATACTGATCACTTAAACAAAGAGACAACCAGAAAAAAACTATGAGTTTCTGATACATCAAAGAATTCACATAAATGCTTACCAGTCCCTTGTGGAGAAAAGAGCTTGTATGAAGCTTCCACGGCTTCTTTGTAGTTTTCTTCATCCGCTGTGATCATCTTGGACTTAATTAAATCCTAAGACATTAAAGAAATTGACCAAATCACCTTAGATGGACCAAAGTGGAAAAATTAAGGATGAAACTTAAGAAGTATATAAATATATATTTTTGAACCTTGAATTGTCTTTTCTCTTCTCTGGTAGAAGGAAGATTTCCACCATGAGTATTTGCCCATTCCTCCGCCAGTTTAACAAGGATAATAATATATGGTGTGTGTTTATGAACCACAGCATCAGTTGTGTTTAAATCAATTGTCTCTGCAAACCTGTGGTGATAAATATGAAATCAGCCATTTTCTTAATCCTTTTCCACCTTTGATGGGGAAAAATGTATTTGTTAACAAGGAGAAAGAGTAAAATCTCTAAGGACAGGATGCATCCCAGTAGAAAGACGCTTACATCAGTGAAATTCCAATCCCATTAGAGATATATCAACAATGATGTATGACCGGTATGGCTTTACACCAAGAGATGCTTAATTACCCAAACCCATAAATAATCTAATAGATACCAAGCTTGCAAATTTTTGTGTTACTGTTATTTATTAGCACCATAAGGAAGCTGATATGGTTCTTTTGTCTATAAATAAGAGATATTATTCAGTGAACAGATTAATCTCCATTATAGAACTATAACATATCAAGCACAGAGAAAAGCACAAAGAAACAGCCGACCTCCGAAGTTCTGGCCATGGGTTATTAAGCCGTAGATCATCTAGAAAATGATCAGGCTTCGATTCAATTACTGTATGCTCCTGCAGATAGATGAGAAAATTTTAATTAAAACACATATCATATCCCGTTTGGTAAGAGCTTTATTAACAAAATCATTGTTACTTCTTTGCTCATTCATTGATTCACTCTGTTCCTATCGCTTGACAGTTCTTTTGCTATAAGAATAGTTCCTCATATAGATAATCCTCACAGGAAATCCATGACAATGGTAGTCACCGGTCTGGACCCACAGTTCTCTATCGATACTGGATTTCACACTTATATCATCCTAAAATAGTACAAAGCAGCATTAAGATTACCTTCACACTAATCCTGACAAGACCCATGAGGCCATATGATCGTGCAAATAATAAAATAATATTTCCCTCCCGACAGATTCTATCCAATTTCACCATGGAATCTTCAACCAGCTGAAATAGAAAAGACAAAGCATAAGAAGAAACTGTCAGAAGTTCCATTGTGCTGGTATCTGCTGATAGACAATTAGCCATGTTATGCATTTAAATACGACCTAAATGGCAAAGGAAACAGATCTTTCTTTTGTTTGAACCTTTGATATTTTTCTCTTCTTCTTTTTTTCGGGGGGGGGGGGGGGGGGGGGGTAGGGGAGGGAGGGGGGGGGGTGTTCTTGCTTCCACAATTATAGGTTGGATAACCCATAATTATGCAGATACCAAAACTAGTTGTTCGCTCTTACAAATCAACACGCCCTTACCCTTTTTGAAAGGGAGATGAAAGACAAATGTCATGCTATTCAACATAATTCAGAGTACTGGAAATTTGGAATGATTGTAACTCGTAATATACTAGTCCAGAAGTACAGAAATTCTTAAGAATCAACACAGAACACAGTAGATAAAAATTGTGTTGAAATGATTGTAACTCGTAAAGTGCTAGTTAAGAGGCATAGAGACTCTTCAAATTTGACATGCTACACAGTAGATAAAAGTCTCAGAATTCCTCCAGTCATAAGAAAAAAATCAGAATCTTTGACATATCAGACACGGATTCTACTAAATAGTCAAGCATGAAACTATAACTAAAGTTCTCACAGAATAATTGAATAAACACGAAAAAAATGTTAAATTTGGGTGGGATACTATTTAGACTTTATGAGAAAATGCATATATCTGGGACAATGTAAAATCGGAGACAAATTTCTGTCTGAAATTCTTTTATATGCATGAAAAATAAGTAATGGGGATACTACTACATTATTATGGAATAGAAGACAGACCTTAAAGAGCACTACAAATGATATTTGCTTGATGGGGGACAATATCTAATTTGAACAATTCAATATTGTAGTGTTACCAAGAAATGTAGTGTAACATAACGCCAACTTTCTCAAGTACTTCCTTTTACCATATGCAGGGAAAAAGGCTTTTTTATAATAACCAAAATTATGTTAAGAAAAGTGGGAACACGGGATCCTGCCAAGATCAAATGCTTTTACGAGTACAAGATAATTCGCAGCTCCAGACCTGTGTAGCTATGACTAATGTAAACTGAGAAAAGAAGGATGGATTTGTCTCAATTAGTTCCTCCGGATGTTCTTCTATGAACTTGGCTTTAACAGCATCATTTAACTCTTGAAGAAATGCACACACACACTTTGCCTTCGATTGTCCAACACTTGCTTCATCAACTACCAGAAATACAAGAGAAAAATAAGACTATGGAGAAGCCAAGACTTGCTAAAATTGTAGATGCATACGGACAACCGCGTAACATACCCATAAAATTATTTCCAAGATCACCCACTTCAACCTTAGAACCATCAACAACAGTGATGCTTCCAACTCCACCAAGAACAAGATTTTTCAAAGTTTCAGAACCAGTTGGACCACAGTTAAGTAAGCAGATACTGGCTTTCTCCAGTGCGGCTTGTCCTTGCTCACCCCATATCCTGTAAAACAGCTTCATTATTTTATTTTATTTTTGTAAGGTGCAAATCAGCTTCATTATTATCTGTTCTCCAACCTAAACGTTTAATTGTCAAACATGTTAATGCAGGGGAATGGTGTATTTCAGGTTGGAATCTGCGAACACCCATGAATACCCATAATAGCCATATGATATATAACGTTTCGTTGTCTCTGCCTGTTTTAATAACTATTATCTGAAAGTTGTGTAAATTTAAAGTCACATATGTGTTTGAAATTCATAGTTTGATCAATTTAACTTCGGTCAATAAGTAGAATCTGTGACAAAATTATCAATCTTGCATGATACATCTTATCAGGCATTCCATGGAAAAACATTCCAAGAAATTTTACACTGGTCGTCCTGAAACAAGAATCAACAATTTTTTCTAATTCTAGACTAACTCGGAGCTGTAAATTGGAATGAACATCTCTGATTCATTCCTGTTTGGACTTTTTCAATACAAAAAGAGGCACGCATAAAAGCACACACGCACATATCTGGATACACAAAAGAAAGATCTATTTGATGGATACACACAACTGAAATTGCAAATGGAAGTAAGTAATCTTTTCCAGAAATTACAGGTCATTCAACTTTGGCCAAGTAAGGTGCAAAGAGAACCAAATATCAGATCATTACAAGTCAGCAGTACCTCTTCATAGTCATCTATGAGACAAAAAAATTCCAAAATGAAATTTCCATCAAAGCTTACTGCTTCAAAAGCCAGCAAAACCACTCTCAAATGCAGCATTTGTTCTCTTTCAGCCCCACACATTAACAATGTATCTTGTATCATCAACATAAAGCTATAAGAGACTTCTATAAAGTTTCCTGAATGACCCTCCATTTTAAAGTCTTTTATCCGGTCGCTTCTCACAACAGTTTTGATCATCTGACTCAAAACCTCCATTACTATAGAAACAAATAGGGAGATAGTGGGTCCTCTTGTCTCATGCCTCTTTGGGAATTTAAATGCCCTACTGGACTACCATTGATAAGAATTGAAAACTTAGCAGTGGAAAAACAGAATTATATCCATTGAATCCATCTTCCTCCAAAATTCATCTTCTCTAACATCTTCAACATACAAGGCCAGCTGACATGATCATAAGTCTTTTCCAAGTCTAGTTTAAACACCACTCCAGACAATTTCCTTTTCCAATAGTAGTCATTGCATTCATTTGCTAAAAGTGTTGAATCTGCTATTTGCCTGTCTTTCATAAAAGCATTCTTATTTACAAATACCAATTTTTATATTACAAGCTTCATTCTCTCAGTGAGAACATTAGCTATCAACTTGTTTATGCTCCCAAGCATACTAAGAGGTCTGAATTTCTTGGTGTTGACAACCCCTTTCTTCCTTGGAATTAAAGCAATGAAGGTAGAATTCTAGCTTTTAACAAATTCTTCTTCCCTGTAAAACACCTCAAATGTCTTCAGAACATCTTCTTTCACAATATACCAATTATATCTCATGTTTAAATTTGCTATTTTGTGAAAAAATCTAGTGTTTTACCTTTGGTTGATCCATAAAAATCTGGAATTTTGTCTAACAGTGACACTTGCCAATCTATAGGAGTTCACCTCTCTAATCAAGAAGGAGAGACTTCCTCAGGACAATCTTTTGAAATCCATGACTTCCAACAAGTAAAAGCTTCTTTTTTTTTTTTGATGAAGTAATGTATTGTATTAAAAGGCATCAAGAAGATGCAAAAGGTCACATAATAAAACTTGCTTAACTCCATAGGGCAAAAAAAAAATTCTAGAACAAGTAAAAGCTTCTTTGCATCCAAATGTATAAACAAGAAGCCCCTAACGTCCTTTCCGGAGGGAAGCATTAGCCAACATTAGCCATTCTTTAGCACTAAAACACATAGCACCTTGATGGGGCAAAGTTACATCTGTTGAATTGCGTGAATCATCCAAAAGTTTAAACAATTAGAAAAGGTACACTTACATTTATTTATTTTAGAGTGCAACACTCATGATTGGATCCAAATTTTTTTCTTTCCCAAGCACGTAAAGTACTGGTTGAGGTTGGCGGTGAAACTTGAATCCAGTACCTTTCTATGCTCTAATATCATGCAAAATCATGTAGCGGGTTAAACTTAGGGGCGGAGGATTCATAGTGTAGACTATAGGTTCGGTCAAACCCAATAGCTTTGTCCAAAACTCTACTTATGTGTTAAGAAATCCACTAAATATGCACATATATTAAATTTCGAACCTATTTATCAGCACTTGAGATCGATGTCCTAGAATCTCGAACCCATAAAGTTCAAATCCTAAATCTGCCTCTGATTAGTCTTGTATCCTTTTCCTTAAATTCCCATGCTAGCACATTAAGATAACGACCACGTCTTTCCATTAAAGATTCTACGTCCAAAAAAATATCCTCCTTTCTTATCTCATCCTATGCCCTTCTACACTTATATACCACAGACTTGGTTCACCATTTAACTTAGAGAAACCCAAATTGTCCTTAAAACACAAATTATACACTATTGGAAAGAAATGCGCCTAAATAGAGCGGGATAGACATAAAGGATCATATAGCCGACCTCAGCTAGCTTTGATTGAGAGGCACTTAATTGATTCTTTTTCAAAATAGTGATGGTGTCCAGTTCAACTTGCGCGCACCTCGACTACTCTACCGAGTAGCTGTTACATCCCACCATCACAAGTACCGGGTAACTCTACCTACCATGCTTAAGCAAATGAGAAGAAATCACCTAGTGTTTTGACTCTAGTGGGATATAAACCCTAGTCTCCACGGTTTGCACCCACTTCATCGACCACCGGGCCACACATCAGCCCTTAATAGATTTTTAATTTTTTACAATGGTGGTGTCTGGGCCAGCTTACACACACCTCAACTAATTTCACCGGGTACCTAATGCTTCCCACCAGCACAAGCACCAAGTAACTGCCCACCAAGGCTTAAGCAAATGGAAAGAAATTACATAGTATTTTTGTCTCTAGTGGGATTTAAACTGTAGACTCTAATGTTTGTCGCTCACTTCATAAACCACTAGGCCAACCCCGCATTTAATTGATATTTTATTACTAATTTTGCACAAACGTAGCAAACCCAGAAAAGAGAATCGTTTTCTAATTTCTGCTATGAAATTATAATTTTAGTGCAACAACTACAAGAGCTCAAGTTCCGTGGTAGGGAGTAGGGACTACTAGTAATAGGCTTCATAATACAAAGAGATCATAACAAAAAGCTGAAAGCAGAAAATTGATATATGTATGAAAAAATATACTAATAGACTAAAAGAATTATACCTGAGCTGACGATCGTATTTGACTTTAGGTTCCGCCATTGTTGTGTATGAGCAAAACTCGGCTTGTTTTTTACGCAGGAGGAGGGTGGAAGTGAAATGGAGAGTGAAGAACTGGGATTTTGCCGAAAGAGAAGAAGAAAGAGATTTAAAATGAGAAAATGGAATATAGAATTTTTTAACGATATGTTGGACAGGGTAAGTTTGGTTTGGGCCTCGTGGGCCTTAGCCAGGCCCGATGTATCATGTCATGGAACATGGTGGTCATCGCCCTCATATACGTTGCTCCTGCATTCTTCAACCCAAATGGCATGATTCTGTAACAATACGTCCCCCAAGGCGTGATGAATGCCGTCTTTTCCGCATCCTCCTCATCCATCAAAATCTGGTGATAGCCCGCATAACAATCCACGAAGGAACCAATCTCATGTTTGGCGCAATTGTCAATCAATATGTGGATGTTTGGCAGTGGGAAGTTGTCCTTTGGACTTGCCTAATTGAGGTCACGATAATCTACGCACACTCTGGTCTTTCCATCCTTCTTTGGCACTGGCACAACATTGGCTAACCAGGTGGGATACCGCGAGACTCGGATGACCTTTGCCTCAAACTGTTTGGTGACCTCTTCTTTGATTTTCACACTAATGTCTGTTTTAAATTTCCTTAGCTTCTGCTTGACAGGTGGGCATGCTGGATCAGTGGGCAATTTGTGAACCACCAAGTCAGTGCTTAAACCTGGCATGTCATCATACGACCATGCAAAAACATCCTTATACTCAAAAAGTGCTTTAATTATCTCTTCCCTGAGCTGTGGTTCCAAATGGACACTTATTTTCGTTTCCCGTACGTTCTCCTGATCCCCTAAATTGATTGTCGCTGTGTCATTCAAATTAGGTTTGGGTTTTCTTCAAAGTGGCTTAACTCTTTACTGATTTCCTCAAAAGCTTCCTTATCATCATATTCTATTTCGTCATCACACTCAACCTCTTGTATTATTATGTCTGAGTTAGATTGGCTTTTAAGACTGGGCTGAAGACTCCTCATGCATGACATATCACTGAAACCAGCATAAAGGTGACTGTACAAGAAAGAAAAGAAAGACAAAAATGAAAACTATCAGGAACGAAAAGGGGGAAATTACATTTCATTAATGTTTAAGATAACAAGGTTTAACTCATCCAAACGGACGGAACATAGCATCCGAATTACAACCTTGGAAATAATCCAGATGAAACTGAAAAGAAAATCAAAACTAACTACCAAGACTCCTTCCGGGTAGGAAGAGGAGTTGCTTCCCAATTGTTAAGCTTGGCCTGGGGCCCCACGAACTGAACATATGCCTTACTTGGACCTTCTCCGGCTTCTAACACATTCACCTCATGAAACAACTTTTCAAACTTCTCAATCAGCTCCATGTCGGGGTCAACCATACCACTGGGCATTGCCATCGCTAGGCGCTTCTTAGTACCAGGCCTGACGAAGGAACGGGAAAGGCGGGGAATAGGTTTTGGAAGGGTCCATGCTTTCTTTTTCATTTTTCTAGCTCGCCTTATATCTGCAGCAGTGGGTTTGAAGCCTAAGCCAAAAGTATCCAAGTTTGCGGGAAGGGATACTGGCTGTACGATGCCTTGTAGAGAAGCACCCAAGCCTTTTCCAGGTATAAATCCGTTCTTTAGCATTTCCGACGCAACCATGACGGATGCAGCGGCTACCTTTGGCACAGGGATACACTTCCCTTCCGGGATTTTCTCAACTGATACCGTATCGAAGACTTGATAAACCCATGGGCCTTTTTCATTCTCAGCTTCTATAAAAGGCACAATGGCGTCACCCAGAATACACGAACTATCTTCCCCATGCACCACAATCTCTTGCCTGTCCCATTCGAATTTGACCATCTGATGCAAGGTAGAGGGCACTGCCTTTGCTGCATGGATCCAGGTGCGGCCTAATAAGAGATTGTAAGACACAGCCACATCGAGCACATAGAACTCCATAGTGAATTCAACTGGGCCTATTGTCAGCTCCAGCACTATATCCCCAACTGTGTCCTTGCCTCCCCCATCAAATCCTCGCACGCAAATGCTATTCTTATTAATTCTCTCGCTGTCCACTTTTAACTTTTCCAGGGTGGAGAGAGGGCAAATGTTTGCACTGGACCCGTTATCAACAAGCACCCGGGTGACCACGGAGTCTTCACATTTTACCGTGAGGTAGAGTGCTTTGTTATGTTCAGTGCCTTCCAAAGGCAGCTCATCATCAGAAAATGTAACCCTGTGGACTTCAAAGAGCTTGTTTGCTATTTTCTCTAAATGGTTCACAGAAATCTTATCGGGAACGTGGGCTCATTCAGAATTCTCATCAATGCCTGGCGGTGCTCATCTGAGTGAATCAATAATGATAGCAAAGAGCTTTGCGCCGGGGTCTTCCTCAACTGTTCTACAATGGAATAATCCTGTGCCTTCATTTTCTTCAAAAATTCTTCTGCTTCCTCTTCAGTTACAGCTGTCTTCACCGGTGCCGGATTGTCTTTAGCTGCTTTAACCTTTCTCAATTCTTCAGGGGCAAAGCACCTCCCTGATCTAGTCAACCCATGAGTTTCGCACACTTCTTCTTTAACTTCTTTTCCTTGGTACATCACAGTCACCCTGTCATAATTCCACGGGACAACTTTTTCACTAACCACAGGCAACTGAGTTACCGGTTTAATGATAACTGGTTCTGTTCGAGCGCCTTTTACAACCAACACAGGCTCAACAACTGCTCCTGGTATTGTCACTTTAACAGGTTCTGGTTGTACTATCATCACTGGTTCACTGACTGTCCGTTCCACTGCGACCAATGCTTTCCTGCCAATCAATTTCTCATTTGCTTTATTTTCAATGGCCTTAATCATCATCACAGTTTGCGACGGCTTCTTGTATTCTCCCTTCTGCACTAACTCGATCATGTGAGCCTCATGATGAATTGGTAATGGATTATGCGTGATATTGGGAGTCTCCGAAGCCTGCACTTCAATTCTCCATGTATCAATAAGTTCCTGAATGGCAGTTTTCAGATGCCAACATTTCTCCGTGTCATGTCCTGGCGCTCCTGAGCAATACTCACAGTTTACTGAATGGTCCAGGTTCCTTGGGGGAGGGTTTGGCAATTTGGGTTCGATCGGGTTCAACATGCCCAACTGTCTTAGTCTGTGGTACAGGCTAGTGTAAGATTCACCCAAGGGAGTGAAAGTCTTCTTCTTTTGCAACCTATCATTCTTAAATGCGGAATTGGGTCGGAAACCGGTTCCAGCGGGATTTCTGTTGGTTCTTGGGGGTGGGTAGGTGTTTTGAGATGCGTAAGTATTTTGTGGAGTGGGTGCGCGCCATTGTGCATGGGTAGGAGGTTGGGGGTATGTCTGGGCATGGTGGACAGAGAAATGGGGAGTGGGGGGTGGGTAGTAATGCTGCGGTGGGCCATATGGGGTATGTGGGTAAGTTTGGGGGTGAGGGCGAGGTTGGTGATAATATGGTGACGGACCCCTGGACCAAGCTCTTGATTCCACTACTGCCACCTCTTCTTTCTTCTTCTTTCCCAATACACCTCCGGTGCCGCTTTGAATAGCCTGAGTAGTTGCTTTGAGTGCTGAATAGCTCATAATCTTATTAGACTTGAGACCCTCTTCCACCATACTTCCCATTTTCACGACCTCATTAAAAGTTTTCCACACTGCGGACACCAGATGACCATAATAGGTTGGCTCCAAAGCCTGAAGGAAATAATCAACCATCTCATTCTCTTTCATTGGAGGATCGACTCTTGCTGCCTGCTCTCTCCACCGAAAACCATACTCTCTAAAGCTTTCTCCGGGCTTCTTCTCAATTTTAGTCAGTGATAGACGGTACGGGACAATTTCGAGATTGTACTGAAAATGACATGCAAATGCTTAAGCTAGGTCGTCCCAGGTGTACCATCGGGCATGGTCCTGTACCACTCCAACGCTGCTCCACTTAGACGTTGACTAAAGTAAGCCATTAATAGCTCATCTTTTCCCCCAGCTCCTCTCATCTTGCTGCAGAATCCCCTTAAATGGCCACCGGATCACCATGGCCATCATATAAGTCAAACTTGGGTAACTTGAATCCTGCTGGCAACTGGACGTCAGGAAACAGGCACAGGTCCTTGTAGGCTACACTCACTTGTCCTCCGAATCCCTGCATATTTCGGAATGACTGTTCTAGGCTCCTGACCTTCCGGATCATTTCATCTTGCTCCGGGTTTTTGGGAGGCTTTTCTTCTTCAGCTGAGAGATCAAGGCGGGGAGTGTAAGGGTATGGTTCTAGGGGTTTGAAAGTGGCTTCGGGTGGGTAGTACTGGTTATCATGAGTTTGGAACACGGGTTCGCTAGATGACCTGTGTAGCGTGGCAGGTGGGGGAGCCACGAACACTGGAGCGATTGGTGGTGGAGGACATGGAATTTGTTTGGGTGGTGGGGGTGGTGGTGTTTGAGTGGTGGTTCCGTAGTACTGCTGCTAAGTAGGGAAGGTAGGAGATGAGTTCACTGTGGGAGGATCTTGAGGCTGAGCTGGTGGTGGGAGGTAAGTGGGGTTAGCAGGATAGGCTGGTAGTGGATGTCCCTTCGACCAGGCCTGGTACATGTCCGCCATTTCTTGCTTCAGTTTATACATCTCCTCCCTCATTGCATTAACGTCCACTACTTCCTCCTCCCTGGATGGGCCGACAATGCTTGCTTCTAAATCCTGATTGACCATGTTTGACTTGTCCTTAGAGCGGGTGTTGTAAGGATGGGTTGCCAGAATACCAGTCAACTTAACCACTTGCCTGGACTCATCAACAACAACTTTGTTAGCGGTTAGGGCATTAACAGATAGATAACCGCACATTGATGGGTGAATGCACCTAAGCAGTCCGCGAATCAGAAATTTCGAATCGAGGAAATTACAGGTTGAATCCCAAACCGAGGAAATTATGACTCTGTTAACAGTCCGCGAATCAGAAATCCGAGTAAGGAATTCTGTTAACTCGGGAGAAGGTGTTAGGCATCCCCGGATTCCGTGGTTCTAGCACGGTCGCTCAACTGTTGTATTTGATTTTATCTGATTTCAAAACATATTCTAACCTATGTGCCTTTTATTAATAACCCGCTTTTA